AATGTTTAGAGCCCGTCTTACTATAGCATTAAAATATGACACCTAGGTTATTTGCATACTAATTTACAACTAAGGTCAGCATAAAAGCATATATGTAGGTGTGTGTGTGTGTGTATATATATATATATATATACACACAGATATATGTATACATATTATATATAAAATTGGGGCTGGCAGGTGGCATGGTAGTTAAGGGCACTGGACTCCCACATGGCCTACTGTGGTTTAAGTCCTGGACTTGGTGGCTTGCTTTCTGACTTTCTGTCTCTCTTGCGCTTTCTCACTCTGTTCCTCTCTTGTTGACTTAAAATCAGTAAATAAGGGGCCAGTAGTTAGCATAATGGCTATGTCGCTGAACTCCCATGTAGTCGACTGCGGTTCAAGTTCCAGACCCGGTGGCTTAAACTCACACCGGGCATGTGTGTGTGCATGCCCAAGATCCCGAGATGAGAATGGAGGAGAAGGGACTGTGGCATGGCCATCCCTACTAGGGGTTAATTTTTTGCTTTCTGTCTCTCTGTTTCTCTCTGTCTTTCTGGGGAGCGCACACACCCTATGGCAAAAACCTCTCCATATAAATAAATAAATAAATAAAGTGACTGTTAATGAGGAATATAGTTGACTCCAATGAAGGTAATTCTTTAAAAAATTAATCAGGAGTTTTTTATTATAGTATATATACATATAGTCAAAGACAAGGATCATAATGGTGAACTGAGAGTATCAGGTATAATATCAGAGAGATGATTACACTTGAAATTTATTAAACTTGGATTAAGCTTCCACTTAAAAAGATAACAAGTTAAACAGCATAAAGCAAACACAAAAATCTGGATCCCCAAGAGTGAAGAAGAAGGTACAATAGTAGCGAAAATAAGGGAAGAAAATAAAATTAACCTCTCTCACCTAAAAAATGGTTAATAAAACAAAACCACCTGAATACACGGATTTTGAACCATGATTTTTCATTTCTATTTAATTAGGGATTAATTTAATAGTTTCATATAGAATATTTGAAAGTTCTCTCTATACATTTTACTATTAATTTTTAAAAATACACAATGATGTTTATCACTACTATAAAACATATATTTTTAAAAGTCATTTTTATTGACTCACTTTTAATGAGCCAAATAATCTTTTTTAAAAGAATTATTTATTTACTTTTATTTAAATAGGGCACATGCACTCCCCAGAGAGAGAGAGAGAGAGAGAAAGAGAGAGAGAGAGAGAAGTGAAAAAGCAAGCTGCCAGGTCTGGGACTTGAACCATGGTCAGCTACGTGGGAGTCCAGTGTTTTAATCACTGTGCCACCTTATGGACCTGAATTAAATAATTTTAAGTCACTAAAAAAATCTTTTGTAGTACTGAACAGTTTAAAGTCATACTTTGGGGACCAGCAGTTAGCATAATGGCTATGTCGCTGGACTCCCATGTAGTCAACTGTGGTTCGAGTCCCGGACCCGGTGGCTTAAACTCATGACGGTCGCTTGTGCGTGCGTGCCCAAGATCCTGAGAGGAGAATGGAGGAGAAGAGATTGTGGCGTGGGCATCCCCTCTGGGGGGTGATTTCTTGCTTTCTGTCTCTCTGTCTTTCTCTGTCTGTCTAGTGAGTGCATGCGCTCTATGGCAAAAACCTCTCCAAAAACAAAAAAAAAACTTCGTGTGGGAAGAGAAAATTGCGGATGCTTAAAGGCCCTCCAAAGGAATCTCCTTAAACCTCATACCAGATATGGGAGGGCTGTTGTACCTGCCCAAACCTGGCACAGCAGAGACACCATTCAGGCAGTCTTCAGCTTCAGGGTACTGGGGATACAAGTTCTACCTTGTGACTTGTGTAACTTTGGTCTACTCTTAGTATCAGCTCAGGTGACAATGTAAAATTTGAGACACACTTCAGTTACATGAATGAGGACCAGGAAGATCAGTTACTTTCTACACTTCCAAACATAATGGCTGAGTTCCAAATTTCCCTTTCCTCATAAGTGAATGAATTGACAGAGAGAGAGAGAGAGAGAGAGAGAAAGAGAGAGAGAGAAGGAGAAGGAGAAGGAGGAGGAGAAAAAGGAGGAAGTGTGCTGGCTTGGTGGCACAACTGTGCACTGTCTGCTTAAGGTTGGCTCCACGTGGAAAATTGTGGGTTCGGTTCCCCAGCCAACCTATTCAAGCTGGGCATGTGCATTCATGACCCTGGCTGTCTGAGAAGGCAGCGGAGAGATAGTGGCACCAGGCCTTGCTGGGGTGCTTTTCTCTCTCTCTTCTCTTCCTGTCTCTCACTGTCACAAAAGAAATTAACTGAATAAAAGAGAAGGAAGAGGAGAAGGGGGAAAAGGAGGAGAAGCAGGAAAAGAAAGAAGGAAGGAAGTGAGCAAAGAAGGAAAGAAAGGAATGGAGGAAAGAAGAAAAATCTCTTGATTTTGAAGAGACTGACTGTCTAGTGCCAGGAAATTTGGAAGGCATATTCTGGGGAGTGCTTCTTTTATTTTTGACAGTAAACAAAGCTCTCGGGGAAGGTTATTAATTTATCTGGCCTATTTAGTATATTAGACTATTTCATACTCTATTGGCCTGAAAAAGTTAATTTACCATTTGAATGGCGGGAATGATGAATACTTACACTATGTCTTGGCATTTTACAATACGCAACAACATTTGGTACTTTTCACTTAGGTGTGCTTTGGTTTTTTATTAGTATCTGTGGAGAAGGAAAACCAAACTGTAAGCTTGCACTGGGGACAGTAAGCTATCAGCTAGAGTGAGATGGCCTAACCCAGGGCCCTGGTACTGAGAAAGGAGAAAGAAAAGGTGAAAATATTAAAAAAGCAAAGGATCATTCTTGAATCATTTGATTTTCTGGGTTTCCACGCTTTTAATCTGGGTGCAATAACCTTCTTTTATTTTATTTATTTATTTTTTGGAGAGGTTTTTGCTACAGGGCACGTGCGCTTGCCAGAAATACAGAGAGAGACAGAGAAACTGAAAGAAATCACCCCCCAGGGGGAATGGCCATGCCACAATCCCTTCTCTTTCATTCTCCTCTCGGGATCTTGGGCACACACGCACACGCGCCCAGCAACATAGCCATTACACCAACTATTGGTCCCTGGGTGCAATAACCTTCTATCCACAACCTTGGGGTTCCCTAAACCATATGTCTGCCCCTTTTTAATTTTTTAATTTTTTTCAGGGTTTTGCCAGAGGGTATGTGCACTTGCTGGAGAGAGACACAGGGGGAGAGAGGGAAAGTGAGAAATCACCCCTAGAAGGGTGCCCATGCCACAACCTGTCATTTGCCTCTTGGAATTTGGGGCATACATACACATGTGCCTGATTGTGCATGATTTTCAAGCTGCTGGTTCTGGGACTCAAACCATGGTCCACTATGTGGGAGTCTAGCACCTTAACCACCGCACCACCTGCCAGCCTCCATGCATTCCCCCCTTATCAGTGCTTCATTAGCTGTCATGTGGAGCCAGAGTGGGACTTGGAAAATTAAGAGTGACTTCCATTCCTGTGGATACATTGGTTGCCTGGGGCACTAAAATAATTTGAGTTAGTCTTGAAATGAAATGTCACTGTGGAAGAAAATTGCATAATAATTTGTTGAATTTGAACAATGAAATAGGGAGGAAGAGACAGACACCAGAACTGCATTGTATATATAAAATCATGTTTACATACCTAAAAAAATACTTTTGGATGCTACAGAAATCCAACTTTTGTATGGAAGGGACACAATTGCTCTTATGAGAAGAACAGATCCATTTGAAAACAGCTGCACCCCTTAGTTATTTGGGAGGCAAATATATTGAAGTAAAATTGAATGCTCCTTTCTGTCTTTGAAAGCTGTGAGGATGTCTTTGTGTTCCAGAACTTGCAGAATCTGGTGCAGAACCACCAGATTAGAGTCCACCTGTGTATAAAGAGGTGTGAGGAGGCAGATGGCTGGGAAAGCCATGAGTAGAAATATCCTCATTTTTTTAACAGATCTAGCTAAAATGAAGAGAATAATAGAGTAAATTAATTTTTTAATGTAGTTTTTATTTTTTAATTTTTTTTATTTTTTACCCCATAGGGTGCATGTGCTCACTGGCGAGAGACAGAGAGACAGATAGTGAGAGAGAAAGTGAGATATCACCCCCTAGGGGTGTGGCCACACACCACAATCCGTTCTCCTCCGTTCTCCTCCTGGGATTTTGGGCACGTGCACACACGAACCCAGAGTGATTTTCAGGTCACTGGTTCTGGGACTTGAACTGCAGTAGGCCATGTGAGTCCAGTGCTTTAATCACTACACACCTGTTGGCCTCTAGAATGAATGAGTAAAATAAATAAAAAAAATAAATACATTAGTAAATAGATACACAAAATAGAAATGAAATTTCTAAAGCCAAAAACTCCCAGTCAACAATTAGAGGACAATGCGCAGCTAGCTTTAAGATCGTTAAAGACAACATCTTAGAGCTGCCTGTGTGTGTAACCCAAAGGCTTGGCCATTGACAAATGCTTGCAGTTGAATGGTGAATGGGGGCTCTGGTGGCTCCAGCAATTGGCTGGGTGACATAAGGACAGATGTGCTGGGCCGGTGGCATGGAGGTTAGGGACGCTGGACTCCCACATGACTGACTGCGGTTCCAGTAGGAGACCAGACAGCTTGCTTCTCACTACCCCTCTTTCTGTCTTTGATCAAATTAAAATAATAATGATAATAAATACAATTAAATAAAATAATTCTTAAAAAAAAAAAAAGAATTCCACGTTTGGGGCTTTGACTCTTCCCTCGGTGGGTTCCGGGTCAGGCCCTTCTGACACCCCTCCACGTGGACGCCGAGCTGCCTACCTTGTTTACTCCCCAAGGGGAGGGTGATGAACAGGCAGGTGCGACCCAGCAGGGGGAGTGGGTGAGCTGGCCCGAGGGCTGCCCCCGTGTGTCCTTGGGTGTGGGTGTGGGGTAATTTGGGTGGGAGCAGCGCGGGGAGCCCCCCCCCCCCCAGCCCCGCGCCTCTGTGGTGGGGTGTGCGCAGAGGAGCCAGATAAATAGGAGGCTCCCTCCTCCTGGCGACACTGACGGAGCCGGCCGCCCGCCCGGGTGTTTCCCTGTCCTGTAGCCAGGGTGCCAGCCTGAGTAGTTTCGTTTCCTCCTGGCTCCTGGGATAGTTTCCAGGCACCCTCTCGGGCGCCCGGGGCCCAGGAAGGAGGCGAAGAAGGAGGAGGGCGACACGTCCAGGGGCTGCCCGGCCCCGCACAGCGGGGTTGATGGACTCGGCCGCCCCGGGCTGCGGCGCCAGCCCCCTGCCACTACTCCTGGCCCTTGCCTTGGGTAAGTGGCCGTGCTGGGCTCCGGAGACCTGCAGGAAAGGTGGGGCTGGAGTCACGGGGTGGGCGAACCTTGAACTGCGCTGCATCTGGACAGGAGGGCGCTGTCGGGCTGGCAGCCGCGGCTCGGAGAACTTTGACGACAGCGCGAGCGCGAGCTTCAGGATCCAGGATCCTGCAATTGGGCACCTGGGGTGCACCTGCTGGAGGCTGTCTCAGGGCGCGCGGGGAGGCCGAGGGCGGAAGGGATTCCGCCGCGTGCGCAGAGCAGCGGCCAAGGAGGCGCGCCCTCGGGGCAGTCTAGCTCTGTGCTCGCGGGTGAAGGGTGGGAGTGTGGACCCGGGATACCCCGCGGGAGGCAGAAGAAAGAGAAGTCTTTGCCCTAAGATGCTGGCAGGCAGCAGGGTAGAGAGCAGTGAGCCTGGTGTGTGTGCACGTGCCCGGGTGTGTGTCAGAAACACGGGTGGCACGACCGCCGGGGGACAGAGCTGGGCATAAACTTCTAAACGTGCTTTTGGCTCGGGTCATTGGGAGGATCTAGGGGAGGAATGACGACTCACTTCTGACACCTGGGCCTCCTGTCACTAATAGGGACGTAAAGGAAAGGGAAATGACATATTTTATAGAGGGCACCACTGATGAAATACATACATGGTTTACTTGGCATCAGTTACTTCCTATTTAAAAAGAAAAGAGCAGGAAGGAAAACCTTTCTTCACTTGGAAAGGTTGGTTTAATGACCACTAGGTGTGAACACGGCCAGTCAGAAGGGTGCCTGCTCCTAGCAGCCCTTGGAGTCCCCTAGCCTCCCTGGGACTCAGTGCTCACAGAGGGAGAGCTGGAATTTTGGGTGCAGCTGGGAGCGGGGCTCCCTTCCCCTCCAGTGTGGGAAGGTGGTATGAAAGAACAGAGGTGAGAAAACCCCACCATCTCAAGGTTGCAGCTCCTGCATCATGGTCATTCTGAAGAGGGAACGAAACTAGTGATATTTTCTAGTCTCATCCGGGGTTAGAGACATCAAAAGCTTGGGGGCATTAACTAGTGGGAGAAGGAAGCTCTGCAAAGCTAAAGTATTACCATGGTATCAAGCCCTACCTTCAGGCCTTCAAAGGGGGCGCCACAAATGAAGAAGGATGGGACTATTTCTCAAGCGGGATCGGAATGAGAATTTTCATTCGGGTTGCCCTTGGAGTAAGAGAGGAAGTTAAATAGTATTGTGAACTTGGTTGGAGGGAGATCAGACTTGGGAGAGAGAAAGGATTGATGTAACAAACCTTGCAGAGGAAGTGAGGGATAATTCAGTGGTAGAGTGGAGCATGCGGAAGGCCATCGGCTGAGATGTAAGTCTAGAAACAGAACCTTTCCTTTAGCAAGTGTTGTTGGTGTAGCTGGTATTCTCTTCCTCCACCGTGACTGGACTGTGAAGTAGTCAAAGTATTCACTGATAATTTGCTATCATCACCAAGGTGCTAGAGGATATAGAAGGAGGAGTGGGAAGAGGGTTCAAGAGATTCCTGAAACATGATTCCTGCCCTAAGAGAACTTACACTACGTTTGGGAATGCAAGTCTAACAAACGCTATGAAGTAGTTAGAGAAAAGTCCAGGACCAATAAAAGCAGTGAAAATCCTTAACGAGAGTAAGACAGTGTGGAATGGGGGGAAGTGGGGAATTTAATGTCTCTGTATTGACTGACATGCATGGCATTCCCTTTTGAAAAAGCAATGTAATACACTGTAAAGTTATATGGAATTCAATGTAATATAAACAAGATTATGATAATAATAAATAAATAACATAAAAAAAGAAAAAATAGAAAAGTCCGGGACCCAGAGAAAGGAGAGTTGATGGAAGAGGTGGGATGACGGAGAGAGTCTGCATGGACCACTTGAGTGGTGTCTCCAAGCTCCAGTAGGCTTTGACACAGTAGGGAAAAAGGGAGAGATGGACAAGTGCAGCAGTAAAGGCTCGGTGATGGTCACGCATGTGCTTTGCTGGAAGGATAGAGAAGGCGCCCACCAGAAAGTAGAATTTGTCAGAGGCAGGCAGATTATGAAGAATCAGAATAGCCAGATTAAAATATTCTGATACAATTCAGTCAATCAATCAGCTAAACACACCATTGCAGGGCTTCAATGAGGGTGTGATAGGAGGCAAGTGATGATTTAGGGAGCTCCATCTGGCAGTGGGGTGCAGTGTGGGAAGTGGGGACGAAGGGCCACTTGACTGGACCCTAGGTAATTAGGGCCCACACGAAGGTGATGGCCAGCAGAAGTGTCATGATGGACATGACTGTTCAAGGCTGATGGATACTCTTCCCCCTTTTTCATACAGAGCTTTTTTTTTTCTTCACAACTTGCAAAAGGCAGAAAATTAAAAACAAAACAAAACTCTCATCCAGTGCCGTTGTACACTCAAGACAACCTGGATACACAATTCTCTGTTGAAGGACTGGTTCAGGAAATTGCATGAGGTCATTAAATCCCCTAAAAGCTCTATTTTTTTTTTCACAATGCCAATGGATGTAATTTGTTGGCACTGCTGTTTCCATTAAGTGGTCCTATGTGTAATCACACACATTTTAAAGTCCCATTTTTAAGCTATCATGTTATTCTACTTGCTTCTAAAAAAGAATGAGTAATGTGATGTGTGACAGACTAACACTTGCCTGTGTGTATGTGTGGGGGTGTGTGTGTGTGTGTGATGGTGGCAAGTTCACTGAGGGCTGGCAGTGATCAGACATAAGATCTGATTCCATTTCTGCCATTCCAGGATTCTAAGATGTCTTTAAGTTGTAATTTTCTGTAATTGCTTTGCGCATTTGTAAAGTGAAAGGTTTCATTAGTTGATTATGCACTTTGCATGATCATAGTCCTTTTGAGAAGTAAACAGAATAGCATGTGACTTAAACTAGGAATGACTTACATGTTCATAAATGCACGCGTTTCTTAAATATATCCAGCATTTAGTAGATGAATCTATACATAGTCATTTTTATGCTAACATATGCAAACTGTATACTATTTTCATTGGGAATTTTTACTAAGAGAGACATGGGATTGGAGACAGAGAAAGAGGTAGACAATATCATTTAAGTATTTTAAATAACTTAAGAAGATTAAGTTATGTAATCATATATTTAACAGAAATATGAAATATATATTTACATGCTACTAAGATTTTCCATATACTTTGATTTGGTTTACTTTTATTTATTTATTTATTTTTTGAGAGGTTTTTGCTATAGGGCACATGTGCTCGCCAGAGAGACAAACAGAGACAGAGAGACAGAAAGTGAGAAATCATCCCCCAGGGGGACGGCATGCCACAATCCCTGCTCCTCCAGTCTCCTCTCGGGATCTTGGGCACACACGCACATGCGCCTGGTGTGAGTTCACGCCACCGGGTCTGGGACTTGAACCGCAGTCGACTACATGGGAGTTCAGCGACATAGCCACTACGCTAACTGCTGGTCCTGATTTAATTTACTTTTACTAACAGTATTTAAAGGCATTTCATAGAGGCAATAGAATTTTCGAGCTGTTTAATCCTATTTTTTTCCAAAATGGCTTTTTCCAAAAAGGGCTTAAATTTCTCAGTTGTATTCTCTTATTTGTTTACGACTTCAAATATTAATAGGAATCTGATTTCAGTAACAGGGATTGAACTATCAAAGAGGAGCTACCTGAATGTTATCTTTTCAGTGTAGTTATTGTGTATGAGAAATAATCCCGTTAGAATTAGTCCTGTCTCTGGACCAGCAGTTAGCATAATGGCTATGTCACTGAACTCCCATGTAGTCGACCGCGGTTTTAGTCCCGGACCTGGTGGCTTAAACACACGCTGGGCACGTGTGCGGACGTGCCCAAGATCCCGAGAGGAAAATGGAGGAGAAGGGATTGCGGCGTGGCCATCCCCTCTGGGGGGTGATTTCTCACTTTCTGTCTCTCTGTCTCTGTCTTTCTGGTGAGTGCACACACCCTATAGCAAAAAAAAAAAAAAAAAAAAAAAAAAAAAAAAAAAATTAGTCCCATCTCTGAGCATTATAGATGACAGGATATAGCCTTATTTTTTGTCTGGTTGTGCTTCTTAAATGATGAAGAAGCAAATTCATAACTTCTTCCTTGCCAGAAGAAGGGAACACCCTGTAGTGACTTCATTCTAGCCATATTTGCATTTGCCTTTTTCTAAAGACATGCTGAAAACCTGAGCCTGGTTCCAATAACTTTGACATCTTGTTAACGTCAGTGGGGGAAATTTCTGACTTCTCAATGGTTTGTGTTCTAAAAGTTAGCATTGATGTTGAACACGAACACTTTGGGTATAATATGAACTTATATCCGAAGCCTCTTATTTATGCAATAGTTGGTGATTATGTTTCCAGGGCAGTTCTCAAAAGACTTTTGAAATATAGTGCACTTAGAGGGCAGAACTGATAGTAAGAATCTTAGATTAACATCTATAAGTAGATATCAGTTTGGGAGAAAATGTGTTTGGTTTTGGAGGAAACAAGTGAGGTAATGTCTCTGGTGCATTCTTGATCTTTCATTCATTCAACAGATATTTATTATCTGCTATGATCAAAGACACTATGTAATTGATGGCCTTCTTGAATATATTTGCATGACAGAAGACATCCTCTAACTCAGATTTATTTATTTATTTTTGAGAGATTTTTGCTAAAGGGCATGTACGCTTGCCAGAAAGACAGAGAGAGATAGAGAGACAGAAAGCGAGAAATCACCTCCCAGGGGGCTTTCCATGCCACAATCTCTTCTCCTCCATTCTCCTCTCCAGGTCTTGGACACGTACGCACATGCGCCCGGTGTGAGTTTAAGCCACTGGGTCTGGGACTCGAACTGTGGTCAACTACGTGAGAGTCTAGCAACATAGCCATTACACCAATTGCTGGTCCCACTCAGACATTTGTTTATTCCTCAGATTGGTGACAAAGGCAAGAGAGTTTATGGGAAGCACAGAAGTTGACTTAGGCCTCTGAGATTTG